GTTCTACTAGTACTACAATAAAATGTAAACGACTGACGCGAAAATTAAGTTTTTGCAAAAGATATTGGCAGTCAATTTGACCCTTAACTAAATTAACCAAAAATTTGATAGAATCACACGCCGTGTTTTTAAAGACTTAAATTTGAATTTAGAAAGTAGCAATGACTGGTCGTACCCTCTCTGCGGATAATTGAGATTTTGAAGGATGACAAATGGGAATAGAATGATAAATCATAAGTACATTTTTAGGGAGATGAGCAAATACATTTTGATCAAAAATTTATCATGCCTATGATAACTTTAAAAGATCTCCAAGATTTCAAAGCATTCAGTTTTGTAGTTCCTGGTTAAATCAATAAAATAAATTTACGCATTCATTAATTTTTTTAGTCATCCTGTATACGCAAATCCAAAAAATATGAACAGAATGGTAAATCACGAGTATAGACTCGTGGACATTTTAGATAGGATTTATTCAGAAAAATTTTTGAGCTGACGTCATCAATTTTTTAGAGGGGATAAGTAAATATATTTTGAATAAAAATTGATTATGCTTATCATAGCTGCAAGATTTTAAAGCATTTTGGCTTTGCAGATTCAAAATTAAATTGCAAAATGTTGTTTTATAATTTTGAATTTTTTTTTTCTAAAAATCCGGACATTTCGGGCAAAAACTCAATACGGAGTGATAAACTACATGTGTCGGACTATGTTAGTTTATATAATTTAAAACTCATTTACTATGTACAATTTTGAAGTGACGTCATCACATTAGTGGTGGGGATGATTAGACAAATTTTGTTTAGCGTTTTACCATCTACATGATATTCCTAATATAAATACAAAATTTGACAACAATCGGACCAGTACTTTCGGAGACGGCAGACAGACGGAAACTGGAGATCTATTTTTTTTGTCCTCTAGGGGTCATGAACGGTCGAAAAAAATGTAAAAGTAGAGAGTCGGCCGACTGATTCCTTACGATCGGCAAGTAAAAAAGTTGAATAAAATGAACCACTTGGAATTTATTTTAAAATCAATAAGATCTGCTTCAAAAGCAGCTAGTTTTGCATATATTCAAACTGTCGTAAAATACTAGTAGTTCTTTGTTTCACTCAACTTTCAATTAAATTTTGAAGCTTTAGCCACTACATTTAAGGCTCCATCACACCTCACGGAAATTTCTATGTTACTTGTAGTACCTAACTATACCTAACTACCTAAGTACCTATGGAACGTACCCTGCCGTGTATTTTTGGTTAGGACCGAGAACTCAACAGGAAATTATATTTATCCCTTTACAATAGCAACAGCTGGTGGTCGGTACAGACTTTTGCATTCGCCTCTTCCTCGCTGAATTTAAACACAATTTTTAACTTGATAACTTTGCGGTTTAACTTTCTTTATCACGTTTGGCACTTGTTTATTTCAAATTTATCTCTTTTTTATTATACATTCTTCCGGCATCTAAACTTAGTTCGCTATTATACTTTCTCACATTACACTGTTTGGAAATACGTAATCTACCTATGTAGCGGAGCTTTCAAAGCGCTCCGCTAGTACCCTCTCGAGGGCGCTGTCCTCGGCAGCGCCGATATCAACCCCACCAAGCTCACCCCCACTGGAACGCACCCCACCTGAAGTTACTTCATTGTGCAGGTACTCCCACGCATCTCAACCCTGCCTATAAAAGGGCAACTCGGCCGCTTTTCAGGCAGATGGAACTCCACCATCTCCACCTTAAGGGTTGCACTGTCTCGGTCCCCTTCTGGTCGTTTCCAGGGCTGCACTGTGTTACGGTCCCCTGCGCTACTTCGAGATCATCACCAGGGCTGCACTGTGTTACGGTCCCCTGCGCTGCTTCGAGATATTATCACCAGGGTGCACTGTTTTACGGTCCCCTGCGCTGCTTCGAGATCTTCACCAGGGCTGCACTGTTTTACGGTCCCCTGCGCCGCTTCGAGATCTTCACCAGGGCTGCACTGTTTTACGGTCCCCTGCGCCGCTTCAACGACGTCATCTCCAGGGTCGCACTCTCTAGGTCCCCTGTGCCGCATCGCCGACGTCGTCATCTCCAGGGTCGCACTGTCTAGGTCCCCTGTGCCGCATCGCCGACGTCGTCATCTCCAGGGTCGCACTCTCTAGGTCCCCTGTGCCGTATCACCGACGTCGTCATCTCCAGGGTCGCACTGTCCAGGTCCCCTGTGCCGCATCGCCAACGACGTCATCTCCAGGGTCGCACTCTCTAGGTCCCCTGTGCCGCATCGCCGACGTCGTCATCTCCAGGGTCGCACTGTCCAGGTGCCCTGTGCTACATACATCGCTGCCGTCATCCCCTACGACGCTCTGAGTCCCAGGAGCCGCCACCATCCCCGACGAGAATTGCCACCACTTCGAGAACCTATACCCTACTTTTGATTTGTATTGTTCTTATTATTAATAAACCGCTGAGCTACCACAATCTGTCGCCCTCACGTGGGGCCGCGAACAAGGGAGGATACCACACCTATTAAATTGCATGCATCATTCAACACCAACATATTAAAAATATGTGACTGTAGAAAAACAATGATTTTAAAAATTACACTAATTATTATTATTGTCACTACTTTAGGCCCAATGAGAGGGTTTGTTACTTTTTTTTGACAGATTTTATTTATTATCGTACAATAATTTATTACATTGCATTGCTTATTAAATAAACCCAACGTTGTTCAATACGAAATTTTGACATTATCACAAAAAATTTTACGTAGTTAGTGAAATTCGTGACTAGTTAGTATTATCAATTAGACAAATACACCCTTACGAAATATTGTAACAATAACAATAAGTTTTCGCAGAAGTCATTATAGAATATTAGGCATTCCCTGAAGACATTGGATTAGGAGTGGTTAGTTACCAATGTCATCAATCCTTTGGATTTTCAGATAAAATGTTAAGAAAAATTCTAGAAAATATTGTGTAAGTCTGAGGAACTTTACAATTTACGTTGTAGGAGAATTGTAGGCGACATGATAGTATTAAAAAAAAGTTCGGGCTGCAAAACCATATGATGCACATTATTTTATAGAAAAAATCGATGTAGAAATCACCAGCTTCGTAATTATTGTTCTAAAATTAGGGAAATAGTTAAAACAACGGAAGCAGATATCACTCTTAAAAATGTTCTTAAAAATAGTATTCTAAAATTTAGAACAATTGTTATAAGTGCTATCAAATTTCGAAAAAATGAGCCCAGTCCTTTCCATAAAACAGAAATTTCTAGGAGCTTCTCCAGATTGGTTAATAAATTCTGATCCAATCGCAGAGATTAAATGTTCATATGCGGCTTGCGATAAAAATATTAAAGAAGCTATTCAGAATAAACTCAATAATTATTGTACAATAAATGCAGATATAGTTTTAATTCGGTTTTATTATGTGTAAAAGTTAACTGCCTTAACAATAGATTACTACTGCCGGTGATGGGACAGTCGTAAATAAGGATTTAACCATTATACAGTATAATGGTAACGTTATGGTTAAATCCTTATTTATGACTGTCCCATCACCGGCAGTATATAGTAAGCTATTGTCAAGGAACCTAACTTTTACACAAAGGGATATTATCATAAAACCGAATTAGAACTGGGGAAACTATAATACAATTATTTTGAACCCCAACCACAACTATATGTATCAGGTGCAGGGTCAACTGCATATAACTAAAAGAAAATGGTGTTATTTTATTATCTAGACTGACGTAGATTTAGAATATTTTTTGATTGAAAGAGATGATGACTTCTGATATAAACCAGAAATTATTGACTCGCGATGGAGTCAAAATCAGCAAAATATAATGACAAGTGACACATTTGACGTGAATTTGAACGTACATTATAATGTGAAGCTTTATTTTTCCTCATTCAGAGAGATCGTAATTTGATTTGGTTTTGCTATTTTTATCAAAAAAATATTTTCGGTCTTATCTGGGTAAAATCTGAAATCCATTGAATTAAAAATCAAGTAACATTTAAATCTTGGTAACAGCATGAAAACAGCGGTGTTCCTTAAGTTAGACTATTCAATATTAATTTTTCACAATTGTTGACTATTCGCTGTAGTCTTCTCCGACGACAGATTTAAATCACCTCTGACAAATAATACAAATAAAATTTACATTCATTTTACAGTTATTTAAAATCAGTAAAGAATTTTAAAATACCCCGCTATACTTTTCTTGTCCAACTCAAATTATAATTAAATACTAATAATTTACGATACAAGTAGTATACATGACAAAAAAAATTCAAAGACAAGCTTTAGTCATTTTAAAAACCATCATTGTAAGTCACTCCTTATTGTCATCCTGACTGACGTTTGAAGATAAATTTGAAATTTTGACACTATGAATTTGTAGTAGTTATGCAAAACAAATCAAAAGTAAGAAATAAGGTTAGTTCGTTAAGGCAATGTCAATATAATCTGAAGCCGTTTAAAATTTTTGTCCGGTATAGAACATACAAACGCTGCTAGAAAATTTTGGACGTCAGTGTCATTCCTCTGTTAGTAAATGTGAAACACCTTTAGAAGTATTGGAACCTTATTTTTTGGTTTTGTCATTTTTGACGCTGCAGGCATGTTAACACTGGATGCGACGTGACAAATCTTTTAAACTTCAAATATCAAGGTGACAATAAAGTATGGACTACATCAAAATTTTCAAAATGACAGGAAAATGACGTCCAAGATTTTCTGGCCGCGACTGTACGTACATTCGATATCTTTTAATCCGTTTATTATTATGGTTAAATAAAATTAATTATTGTGTTTAATTGAGACAAAAATGTAGGTAGGTATTATGTTTTAAATGGGCTATACTTGGATTTGATTTTGGCCTATCAAAACTGTTGTTTTGGTCTGATTCTATATATTAACAAATCTATAAAATGTGTAAATTTGTGGCAATAATCAGTTTAACTAACTTGTTATCGCTCTGAGTTACTCATTCTACTTACTTAATTCATTTTGAAGCCAAATTTTATTTTATCGTTAGGGTCTTTGAAGTTGAACTTTAACTCATTTGACAGTTTCAAGATCACGTTCTGTTACATTTACATCAATTTACATCACATCAACAGCACACGACGTTCCTTGTAATCACATTTAAACGCGTACTTGCCGTCTACTTCTAGCACTTGCAGTTGGTAGCGCTCATAGGTAGTGCTGGCACTCAACACTTAGCTGCTGTGTTGACATTTTATGCATGTTTTGAGTTTTGATAACGTCAAAAAATTCATGATGACAGAAACTGACAGATGACAGAAGGAATGCGCCGGTAACAGTGTTGCCAATACACTACAAAGGAGATAACTTTTTCCATAGCGTATTTTTGAATGGTATTTAGGGTTTTTCGTGTCACAGCATTGGCGATCAATAATTTACACTTGGGTGTTGTATTTGATTATTTTTATCACTGTGTTGTTGCAATCATATTTGAGATGGTAATCAGAATCACTTAGGTAATATTAAAATATGTAAATTTTTGTAAACACGTGAAATAACTGAAGAAAGTGATATGTTTGTGAATAAGAATAATAAAAATATTTTTTATAACAATCTTCCGTAAAAATATGGAAGTATGTGCATTAAAAAGGTATCAATTCTGTGTGTAGTTTTTTGTTTTGTAATTGTAAAAGGTTTGTTACCGGTTTGTATATGATGAAAAGCATGTTGAAGTCATATCTTTGTAGGTGCAAAAATTAAAGAATTTGGCGTGGATGTAGGACGTAACTTTACACTGCCATGTCCAGTACATAATACTAAAGATGTCATGTGGATTAAAGAAGAAAGAAACGACCATCAGCAAACTCGAATGAAAATACTAGAAAATGGCTCTTTATTTATACCTACAATTGAGGGAAGTGATGCAGGAATCTACTCTTGTTTGAAAGCTAATAGTGTGGATGATGAAAAATCTCGAATGAAAATTGTTGTGAGAAGTGAGTGTACAACCCTCCGTCTACTCTAAAACCAAAGATTATCACTTAAACAATTTCAGCACCTCCTCCAGCACTAGAGAATGTTTCTGTACGACCAAGTTCTATTATTGCTTTAATATTGTGGGAGGTGAATGGCACAGGTGGATACCCAATAATAAATTTTACTGCTCAATATCGGTTAGCCGGTTCAAACGGTGAATGGTTACCTATATCCCCAAATCATATCACACCAAATTCTGTAAGTATCATTTAAAATACATTTGAAAAAAGTAATGATTATCAATATGCTAGTGACTGCACACATTTTTGTTTAATACTTGGAAGTAATAAAATTTTAATGTATTTGTCAATTTTTATCCATAAAATGTTGACGTTCTTGTAAAGAAATCACTTATTAGAATTGAGTTTTAATTGTATGTTGTTTAAAGAGTGCATATATAAAAATATTTTGATAAATTTAAAAAAATTAATTTTGAAATTTTGCCAGTCCCAAAATGTCAAAGAAAACATATGGCGTAATAAAAGAGTTATCATGCCCAAAAAGTGATGATTAGATTTTTTTATAGCAACAGTTCTGGTCACAGTACCAACATGTAATATGGATAACTAACTCCTGGTAAAGTTTATTTCGAAAATTGTCATAATCATTAAAGGGGGCTCACAAGGCCTTGAACTTCTTAGAAATTAAATAATTCAATTTTTTTAGTTTTGCTACCATTTTCAACACTAAACTCAGATTAATTATATTTTTAGCTCATTTTTTGCCTCTTGCAATTTTTAATTAAAATCCAGTTTTTAAATAAAACAACGAAATCGTTTTTAACACATTGAAATACTCGATTTATAAAAGTTAAAAGTTCTATTAAAGTACCACGTGACCGACTCTACGCCAATCACACATCGATAAACGCCTCTTTAAATGCGTGATTAACTTAATCTCAGTTAAAATATTGTATAAACTAGCCATAAAGATTAGTAAAAAAATTTCCCTTTGTAACTAAAATTAAAACTTTATTAAAAATTGTTATTAGTTTTCATTAAAACAATATTAGAAAATAATTTTGCTAAACTATCTATTGTTAACATGACAATAAAAAAGAAAACTATTGAGTGGAATTTAAAATATGCTGAACAACAGATCACAATACTTGTTTATAGAACTCTTGTTTTAAAAAGGAGAATCGTATAATATTTTAATTTACATGACACGTTCAATTTAAATATGAACACACTTTTTATTAGTTGTACAGTAATCTTGTTGTAATTGTTATTATTTTCGTAGAAAATAAAATATCAGTCTCCACAATTTAATTATGGTCTTTCTGTTACCCTGAAACGACCAAATTTGCTCACCAAGAATTCTGAAAACAGACGTTTCAAGATTTAAATAGTTGTCTTGCAATGAACAAACGCTATATAAACTAGCCAAGACTGCAAAACAAAGCTTCACAAACTGCACAATTTAAAATGAACTAAGAAGATAATATTAAAGTGAAAATAGTAAGAAAGGAAGAGTTAGTTAACGAATTAACTAATTCATTAAATGAAGCTAAATGAACATTTATAAAAACATATAAATTATGGCGTTATAGGAAGTTGAAGAAATCTACAAGAGAAAATGAAGAAATATAATTTTTCATCCAAGAGAATTTTACAGTCCGATTCGACAACAAGATGATCAAAATTCCAAATCCACTTGCCCCCAGTCTAAAAATAATTTTAAGATATTGTTTAATAATTAAATAGCACACCATTCGATACCCTAAATTTGTAAAAGAATCTAAAACAAATATTGCAAGCAGTGGTACGATTTAAATTCAGAAAAAGATTTTAAAATATTAATTCGATACAGGCTACAATATTGCATCCCGCAACTAATACGTGATTTGCGTCGACGTAGCCGTACCTATAATAATTCATTACTCCCAAAAATTGTTTTAAATGAAATCGTTTTCAAACGTTAATGAACATTTAATTTTTATTAATATGTATTTAACACTGTGAATAAACATGATCATTCCGGTGTTTAACCCTGGAGCTTCACTACTACGCTTTTGAAGCAGTGGGATTAACAATATTATAAGGAACAAAGAAGAATAAAAACGTGATCAAGACATTAGAGATTTATTTCATGACTGACATGTACGTACAAAATTTTAAATGGCTTGGAAGATTGAGTGACCCCCTTTTTGAGCGCTTAATCATTCAACACATGATGCCAAAAGTCTGTTCAAGAGAAAAAAATAAATATTATTTTTAGCTGTTAATAAATTGGTATATATATTAGTTAGACGACCATAATATGTTCAAATTGACTTTCTCGAACATTTAGTTGAAATAAGGTTTTACTTCTGTCGAAACGTCCAAGAGTTCCATATTGTTACGTTGGACGGGTATTTAAAATCGACGTGGGTAAAACTCAACAATTTATTTCTTACTGACTCAAACTTCCACGACTGATTACACAGCGATTATGTACAAAGTAATTCCGGCGCAACTTGACTAGATTCTTTCAACATTCACTGGAGTTGATTCGTTGACTGAATAATTTTTTTCTGTAATACCGATTGCGACTTCCGTTTCCAAGCTTTTCTTTAGCGAACGCCGTCCGGTCGCCGTCATCGACGATGAGTCACCCATCGTTGCCGTGCATACTAGAAAGCCCTTGAGAAAACCCATAGGCATCGTACCGGGGCCGGCGTATGGGTTTATTTCGTAACAATATCAAATATTTATTAAGGTTACATATTCAACATTTTCCATAAATACGAAATACGCTTATTCCTTTGTGTTTGCATCAATGACTTTTTTAAACACTGATATCATGTGTAAAATGAATAAGCATTCAAAAGAAGGATCACTCGAGCTTCAATGGAAGTATTTTTTTTTTAATGTCATTTACATTTTATACAATAACATATAAAATGCCAAAAATTTTAAATCCCCATTGAGTTGTTACCTGAGGCATCAAAATTTTCAAACTACAACAACCTTTTATACGTGTCGGTGTACATACGTATCATAAGGAGTAGAAGCGCCGACCTCGAGAGTTTATATAAAAAATAAATGCGGACAGATACGTTGGATTTCGCCTCATGTACCTTTTTTTTTTAATTTTGACTCGAGCGAAGCAAAGTCCATCGGACTAAAATTTGGCTAATCGTCCCCACCAACGATTTGATGACGTCATTTCAAAAAATTATATTTAAATATTATTTAAATTTTAAATGATCAAAATCCAGATCCAGAGGATATCCAGATTGTGGCTTAGTGGGTTACAGGTCGAAACGCGAACCGGCGATTCCTCGTTCGATGCCAAGCTTGGCCGTTTGTTTTTTCTTTTATCTATTATATATTATCTAGGTGTATGACGTCATAATAAATGTTCCATTGGTCAGACTGACAACGAGTCACTTCGTGTTCTCGAAAAGGCGAGAGAGAGAGAGCAGAGTTAAGTTATGAAAAGAAAACTTAATTATTTTTTTTTAATAAACAAGATAAAGACTTAAAATTATTATTCATTCGTCACCGTAAAGGCGGTGACTTTCCGACAGCAGCCTTGGTGATGCATGCCACGCTACAATTTAGTAAGAATTATAATAATAATAATAATATTCAGAACATTTTCTTCAACTGTGGCATAATTAATAGTGTTAGTTCTTTGTTTTGAAACGGCAAACTCATCCAGTTCAAACATATTTCTACGCGACATTCTTCCGAAATATAAACACATACAGGCTATACATTTTTTTAGCATAAAACTAAAACCAAACGACATTTTCGGCGGAACATTATTAGTGAAGAATTGTTTCATAATGAAAAACGTTCTGCTACTGAAATTCTTCATACAGGAAGGTCATGAAGGAAATATATCTATTTTCTATGTAATCTTCTGTGTCTTTTATATAATTTCTGTGCATTACTATTAAATAATGTTTTTGATTTTGTTGCCTATACTAGAACATATAGTATTAGCATCACAAACCTACTACTTTAACTGTTATTTAAAAATTTTCACTCTTTCGTTTCAGCGACAGATTGATGTTTATAAATTACAACCGAATACTAGCTATGAATTTAGAATTTGGGCTACCAATAAACTGGGTAGGGGGGAAATAACTGAAGTGATTGGAACTACTTCACATGAATATAAAGAAGAAGGTAGGAGCTAAAATTTTCATTTTTATCCGCTAGTATTGCTATATTTAGTTTACTTATGAATCTAGTATAATGGACCACTTTTGCTATAATGGCCATCGCTTGTGATTTTTGCTGATAATTATAATCCATTGCTTCTTTATCAAAGTGGTCAATTGTAATCAAAACTTGTAGCAAAAGATGTTTTTTAATCCAGAATTGGCTCGACGCATGTTAGCTGGAGCAGACAAATTCGACACGAGAGTATGGGCCGTGGCCGTTGGGATTGTTATGGGAACTCTTATTTTACTGGGATTGGGAACATGTTTCTTATTATACCAAGAATGTCGCCTTCCTAGTGGTAAGTTAGTTAATTTTAACATTTATTTTACATTTTGCAGTTATTTTAAGTAGAAGTATAGTAATTGATTCATAGTTCCAGAAGAACAAGAGATTATAGAACTAGTTCCGAATATTATATTGAATCCTGGATTTGAGGGCAACATACAAAGTGAACAAATGCCCACAGACGAAAATTCTAATAATGAAACGCCTTTGCGTTTGAACAATAATACAGTAGTGCAGCCTAGGAATGTATAGTTTTTTACTAGATTTCGCTTTTACAAATACAATAGAAGAAAACATTACGGGGACACATGATGAATAGTTTATAATTCCAGTTTTCTCGAATGCTTGTGTTCAAGGGTGTATTGCCCATATGTGATTTAATGTTAGAAATGTTAAGTTTTAAAATGTTTTTTATTTAAGCGATTTAGCGTATGTTATGTTCCTAGTTTTTATGGTTATTCAACTCAAGTTTTTTTTTCTAGTCATCTTTTAGAGATTTTGTTGCTAAATGTTTTTGCAGTTAATCCAATAAGTTACCTTCTTTGTAGACACTGTGCATCATATCAAAGTTCGAAAAATTATTTAAATCAACGCGTTAACATTACAAAATTACAAAAATAAAATGGCTTCCAGTCTATACAGTAGAATCATAGAAACGGTTGACAGCGTTGCTAAAAATTTCGCAACATATTTTTATAGAATGAAAAATCCGTAAAAAACATTTTTTTATATCGTCAGTGTAAACCGTAATTTATACAGCTTGTTAATATGTCGATTATTTTTCATAAAAATAGAAACATCCGGTGAAAAAAATTAAAGTATAAAAAATCGTAACACATTTCATAACTTCTGATTATTTACTTTTGTTTTCATCTTATAGAATCATGACAACCAAACAGTAGAGATAAATATATTGGAATCGAAAATAGAAATATGTTGCTGCGTTTAGTTTCTGTAGTTCTATGCTACACATAATGCTTAAGTATATTTATTCATGCATTTTACACTCGGAGTTGTGAAAAATAAGTTAGTTCCACGTACAAGGTAGATAAACACCTTGTAACTACAAAATAAAGTTACTTCATGAGGTTGTAGTCATTTTTATTGTGCCTAATAGTATTGGCGAAAGATATTACGGTCATATCAGCTCAAAACATCTTAATGCTCGCTTATTTGATGCAATAATTTCTTTGAGGTGTTTTTTTTTATATATATAAATCTTCTATGTTGTGAAAATGTATCAGTGCCTATGATAGTTTGATAATACTTACATGTAATAGCTTCGAGCACATTTTTGTGACAAAAAAGTGTAATAATCACAGACTGATATTTAATTTTCTAATATAATGTAAAGTAATTGCATTAAAACGATGTTAATAAACGTACTAGCTTTGTTGCTAGGACATGTAAGAAAGTCTGTTATAAGCTGTGTGACATTTATTATGTATTTTTATTGTACACAATATACACACACTTATCAATTTTTTTTATCTCATTGGAGACATTGGTTACGCTATGTTTTTTTTTAACACTGAAACTAAATAATATCCAGTATGGTGTTGACTAAAACCAAAGATATTAGAGTAATACGATATCTTGGACTAAAACGAAAGGATATTGATAGTATTGTGTGAAATTTTAGGTTAGTTTCGGAAAAGTTAATTTAACTACACATGTCATCAGACTTAGCAGACTGTAAATATTTCAGTGATAAAAGTTTTAATAATTTTCCAATGAGGTTGGAAAAGTTTGTTACGGAACAAAATAATAAAATTTAACATATTTGTATGTACATACATACATTAAATTTGTTCATTGTCATGACGTTTTTATACAGGCTGGTCTTGCATATCTTTCTTAACATTGTTTATACATACGTATAATTGCAAAATTACAGATCAAAAGAAGTAAATTAGGTAACGATATTTTGTTTGTAGATTTTGTTTTGTCGTAAATAACGGTTGCCTAGTTATTTCACCTGAAAGATATGAAGTAAGATCAGCTATATTTGTTTAATATTCATATGCGGTAAATGTATTCATATTTATACATTGTGCTTTTATACAAATAACATTTTACTTGTAACTGTGTATGTCTTTGTATTGTCGTATTCATATCTAAGTACATAAAAATTAAATTAACGTAAAAAATTAATTTTTATACTAATAATAACCAGTGATATCTACTGAGCTTTTGTGAAACTGTATTTTTATTTGTTCTGTGTGCCATTGCTTCCTTAGATTCGTTACGGTTCACTTTCTAGCAGTACTTTGTATAGGTTAAATTTGAAAATTCAACCTGATCTTCCACATATTATTTTGTCTCTAGCATAACGCGTCATTTTTTAATAAATTAATGATAATTAGTTGCTTTAATTTTTCACAAAACATAGTTCAGCACCAGATAAACGTACAGTGCTACAAACAATATTGAACTATTTGTCAATCAGACTAAAAGTATTGGTACACTTTTGTGGGAGTATTAGCACATCATGCAATATTGATTTCAGACAACATTTACAGAAAACACGCGAACGTACGCATACATGCTTATTCTGCAGTAGATAATCAAATTTGTTTAAAAGTAACGGTTTTATAAAAAATATTTTAACAAAACGATAAAAATAATGGACCGACTTACTCATAGCAAATCGATAAAGTTGTGGGCAATGAAACAGAAAGAATTGACTTGAGCATCTATTTTACACACTAGAAGTATAATCAGTGCCATTGCAAGAGTTAAAAGCACAATAGTTTCCTGAAAATGAGTCACCGACATATAATTTTTGCATTTGAAATTGTGATACAGCTTGTGTATATTTATGAACACAGTAACTAATTATTCACAAAGTCTAAAACTATGCTCTTCTGAATTAATTTAAGCCTGTACCGGATGTACAATCTTTAGCATAAAGACGAGCTACAATGACATTCTTGTATGACAAAAAAATGCCGATCATAGAATATAAGAGCACATTTAAATCAAGGTGACATTTTGGGACAGTATAAAGTTAGTTATAGCATTAGTCCTACGTCATCAGTAAAACCATCGTATTGTTTAAGCGGAACAACCTTTTTTTTTTAATATACTGGGAAATATCCGTTGAAACGTAACAGGAGACAATTGTTGAAATGCCGTCATTAAATACAATTGAGGCTAACCTTACTATTCGACTTTCGATAAAAAATCACCTCGATTCTGTTATACGAATATAAATTTATTTTTTCACTTATGGTTTTCATATTCGGTCGTGTAATGAAGTAATGAATCATTTTTTAAGCATATGTATGTATATATATATAGCGGTCGGTGTTTTCACCCATGACTGCAGGTTTGATATTCAAATGGATATATTCCCCATGGAGTAGGTAGCCCTGATCTCAGGCTTACGTATTACTTCTGGGAAGACAGTTTCTATAATGTTGTGTTGAAGTACCTACATTTCTTTTTCCTATTTTGTTTCTAAATATAAGCTCCCAAAATTTTGTATCAATATCAATAACGAGAATTTTTACAGAGAATTATCGTTTTGTTGCATTTTTTTTCATTATTCGTATACCACAAGAAGTGCTTAATTCTAATAGAATTTAAATATGATAAACTTTTGTATTAAATTTTTATATAGAATTTTAATAACGGTTGTGAGCATTACCTGACGATTTTGATTCTTTTAGAATTAGGCTAAATATGTACATTTATATTATTAATTTATATTAATGGACGTTGTAGAACGTACATAACTCATATTTTTGTAATATCTCAAGTACACTTTAATTTATTGTTCCTTTACGTATACCAACAAATATAGTTATAAGTTGGCTTACCAGTTGTAAATATTATGCTATTTAGTGTAATAAAACATTTATTAAAGGAATACGCCGCCCATCATTTATTAAACTGGAGTCAAAGCATCTTACTAATAGTTTGTCAATTGACCTCTATTACGTAAGAATTATTATTTGCTTTTGTCATTTACTTTGTGCCTACGTTTTTTTTTTACTCATCTTAACATTTACGTACTTACTCTGTTCGTTATAAAAAGTGTCACTAAAAGATTTCTAATTTTTATTTCCTGAGTGTAAGCTAAGTATTGTAATGGAGTCCATTGGGCGACTAGCTGCTTTCATATTTTTTCGATGGATCATGACCCCTACAGTAGGCAAAAATGGGTATCCCGTTTCCGTCTGTCTGTTTGTCTGTCCACCGTCTATGTCAATTTTTGTTGGACAGATACTCTCCGAAATTACCCGATTTTGTCAAATTTTATAGGTATCTGTATCAGGAATATCATGTAGATGGTAAAACACTAACCAAACTTTGTCTAATCATCCCCACCACATGTAATGACGTCACCTCAAAATTGTTCATAGTAATAATGGGTTTTAAATTGTATCAAATAACATAGCCCTACACGTATAGTTTATGAATCCGTGTTGACTTTTTACCCGAAACGTTCAGATTTTAGGAAAAAAAAAATTATGTAACATTTTGTAATTTAATTTTGAATCTGCAATACCGCGTAATACTTTGAAATTTTGCAGATGTTTTAAAGTTGTCATAGGTATGGTAAATTTGTAATCAAAATATATTTGCTTAACCCCCCCAGGGTACAAAAAGACAGAAGTCCTCTTGTACCATGATCCTCCCAAAAATTTTGCCGAATAAACCCTATCTAAAATGTGCAAAATATGATGAGTCTATACTTGTGATTTATAATTGCATTAATTTTTTTATTTATATATTTTCTAATTTTTCAAAAATGCTGGATATGTTTCATTGTGCTTCAGTGGCGAGGTAAGTACTGTCGAAACAACTTTCGACCTTTTTAATACCTATATTTGCAGCGTAAAGCTGTTTTTTTTTTACAACAGGAGCTGAATCATATTTATAACCAAATTATAAATGCGGTTACTTAAGCACACTTGTAAGTAATAGATAGGTCACTCGACAAGTCTGCTAGTCTCAAATTATTTTACTTCTAATACTGTTAGATTTTTCGGTTTTGAGCAACATCAGAAGAGGAGAGAAGAGGGGTGGCGAACTTCTTCAGCAGCTGAAAAATATATTGAATACTTCAGAATATTCTATCGAACAAAACGGAAAGTGGTTCGCATGGAACAGCACCGTCTTATCACCAGTGGCGGCTCCTCAGAGGAGGCAGGGGAGGCTGAGCCTCCTCTATTTTTTGGAGCTGAGCTTCCTCTAATTTTTTTCGATGAAAGAATTTATATTTTTGTAGACATTTGTTATTTTTCAGAATATTTTCTTGGATTTCATTTACTTTCATCATATATCAGGTTAAAATGTCGGAAAAATTTATATTTGCGCCCTCACAATCATAATTCACATTCACACCACTCCGCGTTTGGTTTCAGCGGCAGAGGCTTGCTAGCCGCTAGCCTCCGAACGACGATGCATCTGAATAATGAGACCCTAACTTTGACGCACCGTCAGTGTGTATTGCATTGGCTAAAACGTTGATCGGACTGCCGCTCCAAGCCGCTAGCCTCCGGCTAGTTCATCTCTTTTCAGATCAAGTCGTACAGATAACTTTATCTCTTTCTTATTAGTTGGAGCAATCGGGTGTAAGTAGGAAAAACATTGAGGTGGTTTCGCGAGCTTTCTATTCAGTGGTGGTGGTGTTTAGGCTTTACGTAGGTAAGGGTATAAAAGGAAAGACCAACACCATCACTCCCATTAATGGTATTGACAGTTACAATTAGAAACAAAACAGAGCATTTCATGAAAATAATTATAATAAAACTAAATAGTTAACGGCTTCGGTTTTAAGAAACAAATTATACTGTTGGAATTATGTATTATTTATAAGTGATAAACTGATAAATCTTCCGCTTGGGGTAAAACAGGCTATAATAATTTACAAAATTTGTCACGAGCTATAGAAAGGCAAGAAAAATCACAGGAACACATATTTTCTTCGATTAAATTAGAAACACTTGGTAAGCAAAACATTGCCAATAATTTAGATTCGGCTCATAAAAGGGAGAACTATTACGAGAAAGTTGGTGAAAATTGGGCAATTTTGAAAAGACTAATCGATGCAATATAATTTATCTGTCAACACAAGAGTGTTCTTTTCGTGGGCATGACGAAAAAAATTATTCAGATAATAAAAGATATAAAAAGTAGTGCTTTTCAAATTTGAGCCTCCTCTGAAGAAAACTTCACGAGCCGCCACTGCTTATCACCTATTTATTACCACGTCACGGACCCACGCGAGTGAACTCTTGAAGCGCCAACGCCAACATATTTGTAAACGTAAATAAGCGAGACCGACTGTACAAGCGTTATCCTTCAGTGTTCTGCAGTAGTACCGTAATAAATGTTAAGTACGGTACTGGTCAAAGAAAAAAGTTTGAAGACGGAACGAAGCGACGTCTCCAGTTTGCGTACACTATTTTATCTAAGACCGACAAAATTCAAGCTTTTTTATGATGCTATTTTTGTGATGTTGAAAGACACATCAACAACACCTGTGATTAATTTTCAAAATTTGTTGCTGTGGTTTCACCCACGTACAAATCACATAATCTTGAATACAGTTCGTCGAAAGGGTAAGTAATTCACTCACCGTCCCGTTAGCCGCAGCAGCCAGTAACATTTACTACCATGGAAAAACAGCTGACTTGTTGGTATGATCCTATCATATAAACTTGGCTGTTTGAAGACTGTAGAATAAAATGGGTTGTAGAAAAAGGGTAAACAGGTACATGAATTAATTAAATAATAACTATATAAAAGTGTATTCAATTGTTTGGGTGATTGCTGCTTAAAGTGATTCCAGCCCGTACCAGCCGTTTTAATTTTACAAAACGAATGGAGAAACTGATGTTTACTAAATTCATAAATAAATTATGGCCATGTTATGCCCACTAACCCAACCCAACAGTAGTAGAACCATAGTAGAATAACGCCGCATCTACTAATAAATAGTGATTCATTTCGACGCGTGAAGTATTACTGGTTGCCTGGGCTCAATCTCTGCTAGTAAGATATATGTATAATAGATCTATTATAGATAATGCACATTATTATTGTCACTTCATATTCTTTTTATGATACAATTTTATATGCAAGTTAAGAAAAAATCAGAAAACATTAATTTAATTGTATACTTAAAAAGGTATATTAAACTGTATTACTTCAACACATAGATGATAGTGGTTTAATTTAATTTAGGAAAGAAACGACTAGCATTTCCTAGAAAAATTTCCGTTTCACTGTTACGGAATATTTTTTTGAATATGTAAAAAAAATCAATAACTGAATTATAAAGCAGTGGTGGGGGTGAGAGAGACGTGGCTTGCTAGACTTGGTGTGGTGTGATACATCTAAAGGGCACTCATGCGTTGTTGGTTGATTTGGATGTCATATTTTCATTCAGTTTTGATGCGATGTGGTGTACGTACAAGCTGATAACAGCAACAACCTTATCAACTTGAAGCAACATATATAGGAAGTGATTTAAAAATATCAAGTTATTAGTGATTCTGTGATGGTTTATACTACACACTGGATTGTGTTGTAACTTGTAAAATTTATTTTTCTCTTACAATTTTCTGCCTTAAATAATAACAATGCCAGAAAGTAAATTACAAAACGGTCGAACCAAAGCAGTTCGAGTTTGGTGCGACGGGTGGTAAGTATAAAATTAAATTAATTTTTGATAATAACATAACCTAAAAGTTTGTTATTTGTTTTGCACCTGTAAGTGGCAAAATTATGGACTCCCTCAGCAGCTATTCCTCCTTACGATCTTCTTAAGTAAATGTTGGTGCATTATTATAAGTACCCACTACTCAGTCTTATTTAACATTGCATGAAAAAAACTTTAATAAAAGAAAATGTAACCACCCTTGATCAAAACAGTTGTAGTTACGTCACGATAATGATCCAGTAAAAATGTATACAATATACAATTATATGGTAAACAAACAGAATTTTTTAACTGATCTATTGATACTTAAGTGTGTGTACTTTACTATTAAGTACCTATATTGTCATGGTAAAATCTACTGACATCTATCTATGACATTGTGAGTGTGACATCACAGGCAAGTATTTTTCCGTCAGTGATTTATATATAGGTGTATACATAATACATATAATGGGGTAAAGATTGTCCAGAATTATATGAATTTTATGGACTCCCAACGTTAATTTGTTTCACAGCTCAGGCGTCAATTCTATTGTACAGGTAAAGAGCCTGTCAGGGGAAAGCCGATCTTTTCTGTACCTGAGTTCGCCCCGCTCTTCAGCTAAACAATAAAACTGACAACAGGGCTGTAAAACAAATTAATTTTGGGAGTCCATAAAATTCATATAATTCTGGACAATCTTTACTTGCGGATCCACCATGGATCCACCCACGACTGGTGAATTGGTCTTTATAAAGTTTGAAATCATAGATACTGATGTTTTAAGACAAAACCGAAAAATACTAGAAAGTGTTTGATAAGATTTTGTTAGCACGTTAATAATGACTGATAAAAAGTATGACAAGTTTTGTACTAGGTAGGTAGATAGTTACGGGAAACTTCCGTACCACCAAACAAGTGTCACGAATTTTAGAAAACTACTTTAAAGTTATCATGGAAATGGTAAAAAGTTAATCAAAATTTGTTGACGTTGTTAAATAAATGTACCTTGCCATAACAATATTCTAACCCTACATATCCATGGATTGGTCAAAAAAAATACCGCCAAATTTTATAGATCATCACAAAAATGAGGCAGCTTTTTTGGAAATCTGTTTATTATATTTAAATCTCAGTAAATCTGTACTTTACACAAACGCAGTAACATGCGGTTTTACTTGTACTGCAGTAATATGCTTTTATTTTTACCTGAGCGTAAACGAAAAAAGTATTGTAATCGAGTCCATCGGACGACTTGCTAGTGTCATACTTTATCGACGTTTCATGACCCAAGAGTACCTAAAAAGGGGTCTACCGTTTCAAATTACAACATACCCCTATATTTATGGTTTATGAATCCGCATTGATTTTTTTACGCTAGGCATTCATTTTTTTTTTGCAAAAAAAACCTAAATTGTATAATAGCCTTTTATACTAGTATAAGCGACACGTGAATTATTACCTGAATAGCTTATGAGTCGGCGTCAACGCTGTATAACCCGCGAAGGTCGTACCTCCGAAACGCACATGGGCGAGAGGATTCTTTTTCTTAAACCGGAACTCTTATTATTTATTTTTTTATTTATGGAAATTATTACCAAAAAAATTAATAAGTATATTTAACTTTTAAAGAAGCGGGATTTGTCAGAATATACTGTAGGGACTAGGGAAGTTTTGTTTAAATAACTTTAGATTTTTTTTCCAAGTGTCCTAGAAACACGGTAAGGTTATTGTGAGCATCAAAGTTGACATCATCTCAAAAATTATAAAATTAATCTACTGAAAAAAATCGCTCCAAGGTGCAACAATGGTAATAGTTCTTTATTGTTTATAACTTCTTACACACGATGTCAGACAAAAATGGATACATATTATTCATTTCAGATCGCTAAAAGTAGCTAAATCTAGTGTCTTTATTTTTTGAGTTATGTCACTGTGAACATTAATTTTCCATAAAATGTCAATAATGTCAGTCTATATATCTGATTCGTGTACAAACTTAAATTCTGGGTCATCCGAATCTGATTCCGCCAAATTTGTAACCACGGGTGGAATATTGTCAATAGGTGAAGTTAAGGCTGTCTTTTCGTTTTGGTGGACTTCGTCGTTCGATGTAGGCGGAAACTGTTTTCGTTACACGAAACAAGTATAGAAATACGTCATAAAATGAGAGATACTTCTATTTCAGTAAATAAACAAAGATAGGTTTTAGCCGCTTGTTAGACCGACTGCCAAACACTTCTTTCTTTCGGGATTGGTCCGTACCCGGAAGTAATAAATCTGAAATGCAAGCGGTACACTTTGTAGTGGACCGTAGCCGATATGATTTTGTGAGAGGTAAACCAGCGTTAGTTATTTAAAAAATTGGTCTAAAGAGTTTAAACAGTACTTCCCTCGCAAAACGTAACGACTGCATGTCTATTATGTTTTTTTTTCCCAGTAGATTTCAAAGCATTCGGTTTTGTAGTTCCTGAGTAAACCAATAAAAAAATTTACGCATTCATTATTTTTTGAGTCACCCGCTATATGCAAATTAAAAAAATATGAATGGAATGATAAATTACAAGTACAGACTCATCATATTTTGTATATTCTAGATAGGATTTATTCGGCAAACTTTTGAGCTGACGTCATCAGTTTTTTGGAGAAGATAACCAAATATGTTTTGACTAAAAATTTATTATGCTCTTTATAACCTTAAAACATCTGCAAGATTTCAAAGCATTCGGTTTTATAGTTCCTGATTAACTCAATAAAATAAATTCACGCATTCATTAATTTTTTGAGTCACCCTGTATATGGAAATCGAAAAAATTTGAATGGAATGATAAATCACAAGAAGAGACCCACCATATTTTGTACATTTTAGATAGAATTTATTCAGCAAAATTTTGTGGTGACGTCATAAATTTTTTTAGGGGGGACGACCAAATACATTTTGATCAAAAATTTACCATGCTTATGATAACTTTAAAACATCTTCAAGATTTCAAAGCATTCGGTTTTGTAGTTCCTGAGTAAACCAGTAAAATACATTTACGCATTCATTAATTTTTTTGAGTCACCCTGTATATGCAAATCCAAAAAATATAAATGGAGTGATAAATCACAAGTACAGACTCATTATATTCTGTACAGTTTAGATAGGATTTATTCGGCATACTTTCGAGCTGACGTCATCAATTTTTTGGAGAGGATAAGCAAATATACTTTGACTAAACATTTATTATGCTCTTTATAACCTTAAAACATCTGCAAGATTTCAAAGCATTCGGTTTTATTGTAATCGTAATTTAATTGACTTTCCCAATCCGTAAAAAAAATATATGTTGAAATTAAAAATGCGTTTGCGTCAAGACACTGACGATACATATGCGTCATATTTGCAATGTACTAAATTAAATTTCCCTTGAAGCTAAAAACAATGGCGTTTACAAAATTTCAATATCTCTATCCGTTCTGAAGTTATTAGGCCGCCGAGTTTTACCTGAGACACCTGTGTAGGTGTGTGTTTTTTTCTTATTTTTATATTTAATATATTACCGCAATAGAATCATCTTCGTTTTTATTATTCATTTCATAATGACCGTCGTCCGTTTGCGATATTTTCTATACAAAAGGGCAAAAAGGGTGTTATGTTTATGATCTTTCCCTAGAATTCTAAATACGCCAAGAGAGAATAGTGCGGTATACAACAGGCATGCGGTGTTGAAATCGAGATTTGGCCCCGCCTCTCGGACAACCACCGTTTCACGTTTCACTAGATGAATTCTTCGCACACTGTGAAAAATGTTACAATTTTATGTACATTTTTTAGTGTCATTTTTTAATAATTTTAATCGGGAAAAAACTGTACGTTTTATTATTTTATTTTCTATGTCATCATGGCTTTAAAATTCGACGTTGTAAGGAAATGCGAATATACATTTTATTTTTTTATAGACAAACTATAAACAATTTGAAAAAAATGCTCCCATCAAAACATGAAAAATATTTTTTAGAACGGTTTTGTGAAAACTGCATCTAGATAACTCAAATTATAACGGAAAAAAATTAACAAAACTGCATAATTCCACCGGAAAAGCAGCCTTAACTTCTCCGATTTTGAGCTTATTATAAAAGTCTTTGCACTGCACCCATGATAACCCTAAATAATGTGACAAATATTTTTGTTACTTTAAAAATTTTGCGCCACCTCTTAAAGAGCCGCCAACCTTTAAGTTTTAGTGAATACAAGAATGCATCTGAAACGACAAAAAATTACTATTAGTCATGTCTAGCTTTTGTTTTATCGATTATTATCTTAGAAAGGACGTGTGCAATATTTATGACCCGAATGACACAAGGAAACTGTCAGTAATAATTATTGCCTAACTTATTTCGATGATTTATTGGTATTCAATTTGTTTCACTTTTGTACAGTATTTGTAAGGTTTTTTTTCGCATTGTTCACTGATTAATTTATTTGTCGTTATCACTTATCAGTCACGTTCATTATGACTTATCATGTGATTTTTGATATTTAGAAAAAGAGGCATCTTTGCACATTCTTTTATTGGTTCAGAAGAACTATTTTATTTCCTTGGATTTAAACAGCGAATTAACCATAAAAATATGCTTTACTAGTCTTATTACTTGTTGCTGACGAATGATTTTTACAAACAGATTAAATTTTGCTTGTTACCAGAGACCCTGATTCCAATAATATAATAGATATTTAGTGCTTACACGGTATCTACACACCCACCAATGCTTAATGCCCTAGGGTATTATTTGGCAAATAACGTACCTGAATTCTGGACCATTATAGACCAATAATACGATCGGGAAGTAATAAACCTGTAATGGTATAAAATCCTCAAAGACCTTAATTATTAATTAACATATTATTTATTATAGTAACGTGATAACGGTTAGGCAAATTTTAACAGTTTATAATACATATTATGTGTCTTATGTTTTTTTCTTTAGTCTGCTAAATTCTTATTCCGCCTGTACGAACAGATTATTGTTATATTATTTAATTTACTACAGTCAATTCGGAATGAGATCGTCCATTTTGGGTAGGTAGCGATTTTGGGGGGGTTTGTAAGGGGGGTTGGCCGTGAGACCAAAACTAAGTTTTCGGAACTAAATCTTGTAAAGAAGGGGACAATTAGTTTTTTTTATATATCTTCGTAACGGTGATTCTGACCAACATTTTTTGAAGAGATTTTTTTTAGACATGAAAATTTCAATCGTAGAATTTGGTCTCTTTTTGAGGAGCCACCTTGTACATCGTCACATTTGGTTCTGCACTGGTAAAACATTAGAAGACTGCATCAGAATCTTTCATCTCAAATATTTCATATTTTTCTGTCCATAACCGTTTTATTGCTAATGTTATGCCAAAAAATCATGAATAAAACTTACAGATACTATCTACAAAATTTTTCGTCGGTTTCACGGTTACGGAGCTAATGAGAGGATGGTGGCCGAATGACAACGCCCCCAGTCCCGAAAACTCAGATTTATACTCACGGTCTACCACCCTATGGATCCATAAAAAAAATCGCTGCATACCGAAAATGCACGAGTTCCCCTTTTTTAACGCCGAATTTACTGGATTAATAATAATTGTTGTGTTTTTAATTGAGCCAGCAGCAAGACCACCAGTATGTTAAAAATAAATAAAAGCGCAAAGACTGACGCATTAATTACGTTTAAATAAATTTATCTTCTATTATGCTTAGACTAAAATATTGTTTTTTTCGTCTTACACCATGTTTTTAATTTAGTGTTAGCCTTTAACTTACGGAATGTAGGTATCATATCTATCCCTAGAAAAATTAAAATTCCATTCCATGAGTCACTGATATTTCAATACTTTGCATAACTTTTAAACAATCTACCTGTAACTGATAAGGTTATACCTTATATTCGTGTTTATAAATTTCAAGGACCTATAATATTATCTTTACGATGAATTTTGTTTTGGTAAGCAGGTAGTTATGAAATATTTACCGATTGTTTATTTTTTAAACAAATAAAATACGATGATTTCGATTTTAGGTTATAATTATTGTAGTTATAACTAATTATAAATTTTTCAGTGATAGCTTATCTATTTGTTTCAAAATAAAATTTTAGTTCTACATACGAACAGTTACTTTACCTACTATGTGTAAATTGCAACTGTGACAATAAATTAATTAAACAGTGGCTTGTATGTATTGATTGTAAAGAAGGCGTCTGTATTGTGTACAGTTAGAATTGTTGCCAAACTCACCTGAGGCACAGCATATCCTGGGGTAGCAACTTTTTTTTTGCGAATAAAGATATTCTTTTATTTTCTTAATTTACTGGCATTAACCAAAAACAAAGTATAGAGTACCAAACTTTCGAGGTTAATTAAAATAAAAAAAATGCTAATGCTATTTACAATGCCCATTTCTTAAATGACCCACATATTACAAATTTTATAATTTTAAAACAATAATAACATGACAGATAAGAAAAATTTGGTTGGTCTTAATAACTGATTATCATAAAAAACAATAAAAAAGCATAAAATTTGTAGTAATATGGAAATGGAAAAATATAAACACCAAAGGCCTGTACCGGCAAAAAAATGTGTGTAATTTTTGTTGAGTGGCTCATTATATGTTAAGAAACTGCAAAGGTACTTACTTTATGAATTATCTATTTGTGTTGCGTAGATCAACGGTGTTATCTACTGTGGGTCATGATCTAAATTTTGTGTACGGAATCGATAACTCGATAAAACTATACAGTGAATGATACTAAAATATTTCTCATTAAAAATGTATTTCTTCATAATTACTAAATAAATGTACTAAATATAGTTCTTTTTATCCTTCATTACATTTTTTATTTTTACTTTTCGAGCGTAACCTAAGCAAATATTGTAATCGAGTCCATCGGGCGACTGACTGCTAACAAATTTTTTCGACGGGTCATGACCCCTAGAATTCAGGAAGGGCCTCCCGTTTCCGTCTGTCTGTCTGCCTCTGTCCGTCCGTTCGTTCGACGATTTTTCTTAGACAGATAATCTCCGAAACTACCAGACTGATTGTTGTCAAATTTTATATGCGTAATAATTATGAAAAGTTAGTATAACGCTAACCAAACTTCGTCCACCAATAATGGATTTTTTATAATAACCCCTATATGAAAATAAACATAGAATCACAGGCAAGGGACTTTGCAGCATATCTGCAATGGGTTTTTCATTACAGAACTGTGAGATAAGGTAATTGTCTTTTTATTGGAGACAAATGTATCGTTTTTGACACACACATTGTAACAATAACACCAGTGTTGTGTTCCTTATTTATTTATTCGTCACAATATAAATCATACAAAGATTTAAAATATTGTGGTATTGGTTTATTTAATCATTTATTATTATCAGTTATCCATTTTATTTAAAACCTAAATAAAATGAGAAAGAATATGTCTGTACAGTGGGGCAATCCTGAATTATTTTGCAATTGTTCGTCGAAAAATTCCATAGTAATCATTTTTTACCAATCGATGAATGTGAAAAATCTTGTGAAATCAGTTACGAAGTTTGACTTTTTTTTTGTTTCAGTTATGATATGGTTCACTTTGGTCACGCAAACTCTTTGAGACAAGCGAAAGCCTTAGGAGATTATCTAATAGTCGGTGTTCACACTGACGAAGAAATTACCAAACATAAAGGGCCTCCGGTATTTACTCAAGAAGAGAGGTATAAAATGGTTAGAGGAATAAAGTGGGTAGACGAAGTAGTGGAAGGAGCACCATATGTAACTACTCTGGAAACTTTGGATAAATATGATTGTGATTTTTGTTGTCATGGAGATGACATTACAATGACCGCTGATGGAGTAGATACTTATCATATGGTTAAAACTGCCGGACGGTACAGGTACTGTGCATTTTTTAAATATTTTAAATTATTTCAGTAATTTGTCAAAAAAAAAAATAAGATTGGACTTTTTTTTTCAAAGAGAGACGTAAATATGTTTGGTAGTGACACAGTTGCTTAGTTACTGTAAATATGAAAAATGTTGTTTTGCATTTCGTTTGATAATTCATTATTTATACCGCAATCACTAAAAGTAACTTATCTAGTTGAAAATGCAAATTTATTGAAAAACATTCCATAAATACAGCTCCGTTAAAGTGAAGTCTACTTTGGAAACCGTAAGTTAAAAATTTTTAAAACGAAATTAAATACAGGGTTATTTATGAGAAGTTCCTTAAGTAAATAACGGGTGTTCATTTGCAAAAATCTGATATCATAAATGTATTTTTAGTATGTTACTAAAAATTCCTAGTTTTATTTAGCATTAAAAAGTATTAATGCTGACAGTAAGCCGTGATAAACAACTTATTGTTCACTTGCATTGTATTTCTTAGTAGTATTTCATAAGGAGAATAGGCAACGTCTTTGGGAAGTGTTCCTGCAGAAATCACACACACACACGGATTTTATTAATTTCACACAAAAACGAAATGAGATGCAAGTTTCTCGAAAAGTGATCCCTGCTATTGTCCTTAAGAAAACTTCTGGCTATAGCTTACCACTGAGTTGATGCTATGAAGCTGGTTAGTTCTTAGAGCTGACGTAATAATTTATAATAATAAAACAACTTTAGTACATCACTATTAAACATTTCATTAAAAAGTATTTTCAAATGTACGGTTGCTAACCGGACATCGCTATTTCCCATATTTCGTGGTTGCAATAACCGCACAACTATGAAAATCTTTGACTTAAAGTCTGTTATGGGAACAGATTTGCTGCATTATGAATTATGATATTGCCTCCGAAATCACTGTATAATAATAATTAAAATTGTATACACACAAAAATAAGTGTTACTTTATGATCACTTTATTAATCATCTTGAATATATCAGGAATTTATTTTTTTCTAGTATGAATCATAAAAAAGTTATTTTTGTGACCTTCAGTTGTATGTAACATTTTTCCATTGCTCACCGGCGACGGGTATTTTTTATTGCTGTTTTTTAAAAAAGTGTATTTACCAATGTTCCATTTGATTTTTACTTTTCACAATTCCTGAATGCACAGTTTTTTTTTTAATAAATTTTCTCGTTTCTTTCAGAGAAGTACAACGGACTGCTGGTGTATCTACAACTGATCTAGTTGGTCGCATGTTATTGCTTACAAGAAACCATTTTCGACAAGGTGAACATGAGTATGACGTTGAAAAAGAACATTCTTCAACAATGGGCCAAGACTCTTTAGCAAGGTCACCATGGACTGGATGCTCACAGTTTTTACCAACAACTCAGAAAATTATTCAGTTTTCTGATGGGAAGCCGCCCAAACCAAGCGATAGAGTCATTTACGTAGCAGGAGCCTTTGATTTGTTTCATGTGGGACATTTAGACTTTTTAGAAAAAGCCAAAGAGTGTGGAGATTATTTGATAGTGGGGTTACACACAGATCCCGTTGTAAATCGTTACAAGGGTTCCAACTATCCGATTATGAATCTACATGAACGTGTTTTGAGTGTACTGGCGTGTAAATATGTTTCCGAGGTCGTTATTGGTGCCCCTTACACGGTAACCAAAGATCTTATGGATCATTTTAAAGTTGACATTGTAATACATGGGACCACACCTGTTATGAACGATGTTGATGGAAGAGATCCATTTGCATACCCTAAACAAATCAAAAAATTTATTACTGTCGAGTCAGGAAATGATATGACTACTGAAAAAATTGTTGATCGAATTATTAGAAATAGATTGGAATTTGAAGCAAGAAATGTAAAAAAAGAAAAGAAGGAACTGGAAGTCATAAAATTCCTAGAAAAAGATAAATTAAAAGGTGATATTATTGATATTAATTGTTAATTTATATTGTTTGTTGTTTATACAAGTACAAATTTATTAGGAAGAACGATAAAAATTTAAGTTTGTTGTTAATTTTGCTTTACTAGTCAGTTTTATACCAAATATTTTACTTAAATTAACGTAGTCTGCGCAAAAGCATATCACTGTGCTGAGTACATTGAAATTGTAATGTTTACGTATTTGAGCTTGTTTCCGTTTATCATTCCGTTATTCACAAAATTAAATGAATTATTATAATCATATACATAATAGTTAACTAGGCTTGCCTTCACTGAACTATTTATTTCTTTTAAGAGGAATGGTAATATAGTCAAGACCTGTAGATATTGAAATTAAGTGTACACAGTATGTTATACACAGAAAAATAATGCAAGTGAAAAAAAAGCAAAAAAGACTTTGCAGGTTTCTGGACTACTTTAACCTTTGACATTATTCGAATTAGAATCTTAATCATTGCTTAATTAACTTTTTCATTGCAAAAAAGTTTCGTGGTGTTAAGCACTTACTTATTTACGGAAGTGTATAGTTGAACTTGATGAACTGTTACAAATGAATTTTTGTATTTGTTGCCACATTTAACTACAGGACAAAGGTTAATGGACTTTTTGATAGCATCAGTTATTCGAATAGGTACTCATGTAAATCCAGAATTGCCTTATTATGCCAAATGTTGCGTTGTTTTAATGTTTACTTATTTTAATTTAAAAGACGTGTTTGTTATATTTTCATCATGTAACATTTTTATGCGGTACCAAGCAAATGTGAACTTTTGTTTAGTTATGTCATAAATCCAAATCTTATTACAAAAAATTTATATGTAAAAAAGTGTATTTAAGAAGCAAAAAAATATGCACCTAAATTTTATTTAATGGAGATGTTACTACTGCATCATGGTAACAAACCAGTCAAGTTTCATTAGTGCAATGATGTAGTGTTACGATTGCTAGAAATTATATTAGGTTAAGTTTGGTTTTATGAGTAAATACACTTAATGAAGGAACCTGCAACGTTTATAGTTTCTTTGGATTTATTTTTATATTGTTCCTAGATTTTAAAATGATTTGTTAAATGTAATCTAAACTTGTTAAAAAAAATATTAAAAATTACCACTCTGAACGCAACATTTAATTATTATTTGTTAATAATGCGAGTACTTTATATCACAGAAATAGTAGACATCATTGTCAAGTAATTCAGTTTCTATTGTAGAGAGTAGTTTTAAAATATCAGCAAGACTTTAAACGCTGTGATTACCACCCAACATCCGACGGTCCGTAGTCTCCAGCGCAGCTTGGATAAATAGCTCTTCACCAGTGTTTAGTTATCGTTATGATAGTTGGCATTAATGTACCATATTTGAAGTTTTGGTTCTCAGTTTAGTCATATTTATAATTACACGAATAGAATGAAATGGATATTGAAAAGCGATTTGAGTAGATTAGCCCCTAACAGTTGTTACTGTACTTTAATTACAATAGATTTTTCATTATAAGTGTATCATAGATTGACGTTTCGTAATTTAAAGCATGACATTTATTTGTATTCAAATTTTTCGACTTTAATAAATTAAACCTCTTATTCCTTGACCAACATAGAAAGCGAATTTTTATTTATATTAATTGTGTAGCAAAATTAATGAAAAAATTACAAACGTCAGTTAATGAAACCGATTACATAAGTTAGTAGAAGTTCTATTCAATTTTTTTTGTTTATATTTAATACGATTAGTGAAAAATATGCTGTACAACTAGGACGAAGTAGTATTGATTTCTCACAAGTGTGACTGACAAATAACAGACCTACTTCATTCACGTTGTATATAATTTTTACTGGAATACTGTAACTGTACAATTTGATATGATATACTTATTTGAATTATAATAGGAAGAAAATATTTTACTCAATATTGATTGATTGTCAATATAACATAACATCATACAACAGTACTCTAACCAAAAATTATAGTCTGCAATTAAGTAACGTTGTATTAAACTGTAGTATCAGGAAATACGTTGGCCTTCGTTATGAGCAAGTGTTATTTGTACAGGGCTAAATTACAGTACCAAATTTGTATCCCTGATTATTACAGTTTTGTTTCATAAGAGAAATGTAATTATAAAAAATTGGAGCTAAAAATTTTCAAAAAATTTATTGTGAAAGCTTTAAATGTTAATATCACGGACGTTGTATTAAGAAGACGGAAATGTATGTTTGGTGTGTTGAGAAAGTGGCCCATTCGTTCACTCCTCAGTTGCCATTTACAATCTTTTTTGAAACATCCCGTCGGCTAAAACGAGGAAGTCACTGCCACTCGTTTTTTTTTGCTAAACTTTTTTACATCGATTTTCGTTAACTACTCTCGTCGATTGTTTTTGTTGTGTTCACTGTGTTTGGTGAAACCAATTAAGTTTTCATCACTATTTATGTTTAAAATATTTCCATACGGTTGGTGGAGTGATACAACTGGCTTGTCACTACTGCACGCTCCTTCTCTCTCTTTAGTTACTGCTTATGGCTTTTCGTAGGAGGAGTCACATATTTGAAATGATACCGTCCTCTTAATATAACATCTTTGGTTAATATGTTATAATTAAAATCCTTGGTGAGATCAATCGCCATTAGAAATTTTGTTTAAAACTCATTTCTTGGCGCAAGTGCAGTAGGCTTAGTTTAATGATTTAATTCCAGGGTACGTATAGCTTCATACCAATTAAATTTTATCTTTATGTGATTATGTGTCTATACATCTAATATATTGTTCATAAATGTTTTGTCTATTATTAGTAATGTATATACCTATCAAAAATGACGAATGTAAGTGTTGAAACTGGCTCTTCGTTTCAAACCCAGTTTCATGAATCTTTGACATAACGTAAGTGAAATTGTCATCATTTAGACAACAGCGTAAAGACCGCACCCTCCCATTCCAAGACATAAATTTAGTTTCTAAAATCTAAAAGTTTGAAAAAAAAACTGGTTTTACAATGACGCTATTATGTTGTTACGGATCTCAGTTTAAAACGTTTTATCCCTTCTTCTCAACACTCAACTCATCGCCATCCAGAATCTTTGATTCTATACTGCTAAATATAATTTATTCTGTTGTGTCAATGTGTGAGGCCTGTGAATTGTGGAGTTATTACTTGAAAAAACTCAAATTTGGTTTTACAAGCGTCAACTACTTCGTTATACTATATTCTGTATGATTCGTTTAAAAATCGGTGCGATCAAATTGATTTACAGGATCATGAAATACTCATGCAACTGGTTTGAAAAAACGTTCCTCATGAAACCAACAAGAATTTGTGCTTGTCGACTACTTCAGCTTAATAGGCAAGATAGATATAACTGAGCTACGGAACCTAAGAAAACGGTTGGTGATATCAAAATTTTTAGGACTCAGACAAACTAGTTAAACACTGAAAAAGGTCGTTTTGGAAATGTTTAAACACAAATTGAAGTCGATGGCTGCAACTCAAGAATTACCAATATTATCAACCTTTTCCACCCAGTAGCTCTCACCTACCAACTGGTTATTTGTCATTCAAAATTTATTTTATCAAAATACAAACGTAGTAGCTGGTAAATGCTGCCATTAGTATAGGGATCGTAGCATTTCATGCTAGTGTTGGTTTTATTTAGAAAAAAATAGTTAGCGGTGGGCTAGTTTTAGTAAAAGTTCTGAAAATAATAATTTCGCAGTACCTACTGCAAAGGAAAATCGATAAGGAAAACTGAAGATTTGTTCCAAATAGCTTAGTCGTCGATGGTAAACATCGTAAAATATTACGCAGACAGAGGAATAAAAGGTAAAATTCCCGGTAGGCCACCACACTTGTGAAGCCGCGTGATCAATGACAACTGATGAAAATTTATAAAAGTGGACGACGGAGTACTTCAAGAGAAATTACCACTTGCTGGAATAGCGATAACCAACTAAATTTTTCAAGACAATATTGTCGCGAATGGATACACAAATCAGGTCTTGGTTTTTACACTGTAAATCTTAAATAAAGCTATCTTTGATGGACTTTATTATTTATTTATATTATTTTAGGCTAAAGTAAAACCACAATTAAAAACTGGCCACAAGAAAAATCGGTTAAAATGACTAAAATAAAAACTGGAGAAAAGTAATATATAACGCTGTGTCCAAATTTGATCACTGGCTGAGATAATAGTCGAAAAAGAGTTATTGAAATAAAAAAGGAATTTTAATATGGATTATCTCAAACAAACAGTCAAGTTTGCAAGCGGAAAAATGGTTTGGGGGTGCATGTCTATTAACGGAATTTAAAGACCAGTTAACAGCGTTCATGGAAGGGAAATTACAAATGAAAACAAATATCAAGAGACTTTGTAAAAAAAATATTAACATCTACTGAAGCAGTCTATCCTGTTGATATTTATATTTTTCAACAGGATGATGCCTCAAGTTACACACCTACAACACTTATTACCAACGGGCGGAATAATATCTCAGACGCTCGTATTTTTTTCTACCAGTGCTGCCGCGTCGATACTTTGATTACAAATATATTTTTCTTTTGTACTATATCAACATAATATAACATTTCAAGATCACAAATCTGTAGTCCTGTGGTTGAAAAATTAATAAGGGCACTGAGTATTATTATTTGAAGTAATACAGTAATATAGTAGTTTTTTTACTAGCTGTAAACACTCCTAGAGACGCACTGGCTACGACGTTGTGGACCAGATCAAAGAGTCCCCGCTACTCACCGTAAAACACACTTTACTTCAACTGGGGAATTGCAGTCGCAAGATAAATTTCCGCGCACTGCTTATTACAAAGAATAATAATATAAATGTTTGCCCTGACCATTGAATAGCCCAGATCCTAATCTAGTAGAGACGGTATGGCGTGGAATAAAAAAATATTTAGGAAATCATCCATGACAAGCGATTGTCAGTCTTCAACAGGAAATTTAGCGAGTGTAGGATACGGTAACAACCCCTGTGTATTGCAGAAAATTAGTTGAAAGTATGATGGTAAGAATTCCTGCAGTTATTAAGGCAAAAGGAGATGTGACCAGTTACTGAATTTGCTGTGTCCCAATATTTATGTGTCACAAAATGTTACGTTGTTTTAGAGTTTTATGTCACTGTTTGAGTTAGAAATCAGTTTTTGTTGTGCTGTAAACATTAACAGTTTTGCAAAACGAATTAATTTTAAAATTTTAATTATCTAAAATAAATTAAATTTTTGTTAAAAAGTTTGGTGATTTTTTTATAAACATTTTTTGTCGTCCCAATATTTAGTTGTTAGGGCTCGTAGCAAAAAATGTTTATTGTTTTATTGTAATGAATTTTTCGCAGTAAAAAAAAATTTGGAAAAATCCGCAGAAGCGAGTGCGCAACTGATTTCGACGAAATCGTCTGAAAGATATTTAAAGAGAATTTAGCGAATTTTGAAAGTGGCGATCGAAAAATAATGTACAAACAATTGGCGAGGAAATCATGTTTGCATTTTTCTTAGCTTTTGTGAGAAATTAAATGTTCAATCAAATGATTATTTCACAAATTAATTGTTTTCAGTCTAAGAAAATGTGTCCGTCATTATTATGGTCAAAATATTCTATGATAAAATCATTCTTGCTTATCAATCAAAATGTTGATATCTCCAGCTTCACAAAGTTAGTAGTGTTTCTTAAGAAACCATCAGTTGATCACCAACCGAAACAGACAGACATTAACCAGGGAGGAGATTTACAAATTTCTGCAAGAAGCTCCCACTGATGAATATCTTCTGATAAAATTAAGATGAACATTATAACAATAAACACACACTGTAAGCTGTTTTCTTTAATTATACGTATAGTGGTAGCCATGATTGGAACAGCCGGCGCCGGCGGTTGCCGGCCGAAAGAATTGCATTACATATCATTGGACGAAATTCAAGAAAGTGAGTCCCAGTTGGCAATTACTATTTCTCATATAAAGACGAATCAAATAAGGATTTTTACTATAATTAATGAAGTAAGACTGAATTTTTTAAAATTATTCTAAAAATATGTATCACTAAGACCAAAAAATTTAAATAACAAAATGTTGTTTTTGAGATATAGAAATCGCAGGTGTATACTACAAAGGGTAGGAATTCATTCAGTTGGAGCAATGCCAAAGAAATTACTTGGAGTAATTTAAGGCTCCGAGTCAAGTGCGGATATTTTACTGTATGTAATGTTTAATGTATTACATTTTTTGTGAAACCGTTAATTACAATAAAAATTAATTTAAAATTTAATACTGAAATCTGTTTTTCTATAAATATCTAGTGGTGCATTTCGTTCGTTTCTAATTAGGGCCCAAAAAAATTAGTAAATAAACAAAAACCGTCATTTTTTGCAATTTTTGTTTCAAAGTTTTTTGCAATAGAAATATTTGGGACGAGGTTCCTTTAGGCATCTAGGGCGTGACGGACCTGCTACTAAAAACTCAAAAATGAGGTACAACGGGGTTTATCAAGCTTTTGAAGATTGGTGTAAGGCTAATGGAAATAAACGCTTATTGCGTACTTGAACGGACAAATTGACGGATATCAAATCAAAAAATCAAGCCTTGCCGGGTCTTCGAAATTTGACAGTTAGTGGAGAAAATAATGCTGTTATAAAAAATAAGAGCGCTTTGTCTACGATTAACATGTGCAGTGTACAAAATACAACTGTAAATATTAATATTAATTAAATAAAATTTAAAAAAAAACGTTTAAATATTTCCCTGCCTAGGCAGGGAAATGCAATTTTCGCTTCGCATTTGCTGCGCGAAAATGGTACTTTCGCTCCGGTTTCAGAAAAGTGTTCTTTTCATTATTGTAAGCGTTTGGTGAAAGACAGTAATCAAACCACTAAATCGTAAGTACGGTAAATTTATTCATTCAACGTGAAACTAGGTCAGATAAAAACTGCACAGAAGCAATAACTGATATGTATGAGGCCCTGTTCACTTCCGATTTATTTGTGAAAAAAAAACAAGAATTTAAAACAGTTCCCAAAAAGTTACATGTTCACTTATGAACGTTTTTTTAAATTTATATTTCCAATATCTGAAAACAAATATACCCTACATTACTACAAAAACTGATTTTAAATCAGGCAACTATTGGAACAAGCATTTTTGTATTTCTCTCACTAATTTAACGCTACGATCACAAAATTGTGAAACATGTACTGTTAGTTTCAAGTCCTCTCAATAATACATGGACATGTAGGCCGCTTGGAAGTCATTTTATGCTTGGAAAATTTTCTGACTGTTTAACTTCCAAATTTGCATTGTTTTGAGTTATTGTCTTATCGAACCTTATGTGTAATTGTTTGAATCTGATAACAAATTTACAGTTCTACATGTAGACGTAACGGAATATATTACTTCCAAACAGACTCGAATCATATTTTTTACGAGAAGTATTATACGTGTACACGTGTAGTGGCGAAAAAACTGTCACAGTAATAGCAATAGCAGTGTGTCGTTTCTAGATTATGCACCAGTTGCATAGTAAACAGTTACAAATAATCTATAAAATCAGTAAGATATTTCCGCATTAAGAATCTAGGTTACTCTAATGAATGCACTTGAAGATAATATGAATATGGTAAATAGCTGCTTAACACACATACGTTTTTAAGGTGTCTGGAGTGCGGATGCAATTAAAGCCGCTTTGATATAACGTGAACCAGCCGCTGGGGACTTTGGCTATGTTTGTTTCGTAGGCACTAATTTGTAGGCTTTCCGCTTCACTTATTGGTA